GGACTAACAAAGTACTTGTGGAAAATCCAGGTTTACATGGATTAAAAGTGGTCTTCAGGCGTGACAAATAGATAGGATATACCGGTAGCTGGGTCAGAACCAGCTTGTCACATTTTTGAGGACCAGACTGGCTGTTTTAGCCAACACCTTCTTGTGTTGGGATCGTTCAGCATCGCTTCCCGATAATCATATTCCTGACTCTTCTCAGTAAATTTGTCCAAAAAATCATCACCAAGCAAAGCTTGTAATGCGTTTGCCCTTTCTTCAAATCATTTACGAAAACTCGCAATGTTTTCCTTCTCCTTTTGATGGCAATTAATCAACTTGCTCATTGTCTTCCACAGACCAAAATATTCCCATTCTGTATCAACAGTGGTCGTCATAAATTTCTTGAATTGCATCAATAGCTCCACAGGATCATTGAACAGTTTGGTATCAAAGTCAGCTTCTCTCTCAAGCTTGTCCACCATATGATCGGTGCACATCTTCATAATCATTCCATAGACATTCCGTTTATTGTTATCAAACACGTTCTTCCTGGCCTTCCAATCCTTTCGATCAGCCAAATAGTTAGTTCTTCTTTCGTCACTCTTGATCTCCTTATCAGGATTGCTGCCATTAGTCACCAATACCAATGTTGGTTTCACACTTTCAATATCGAACAGACTCCAGGCTCGTACACTCTGGATCATGTCATCAATATGATCCATCTTCATTGTTGACATTTTAATCACCAATGTCTTCTTCACTTCATCAAAGCTAAATTTGGGAATGTTTCCTCTAGTCAGAGGATGAAACTTCTTCTCTTTTTGGCTACCATATTTCCATTGTATTCACCATTATCTTGGCCTTGCTGCAATCTTCCTTGTCCAGCATTTCTTCCATTGGAACCATGTCCAGTATTCTGAAATTGTCCACTCATCACGAGCAAGATCCTATTCTTTCAAGTCATAGGAATATATCAACTCCCAATTCAATTCAGTGACGTTTTATAATACATGTTAGAAGTAAGCGATCCACTGCCGCCTACAATCTAACTGTTCAATTGACTGCAATTTAGCTGTCCAGGTATTGTTGCCTTCTAAGTATGTGAATTTACAGTATATAGAAGTATATAGATCTATCAGAGATCCTACTTTATCAACCAATTCACTTGTTGCTTGCAATATATTATAAAAAGTGAGAACAGTCTGTCAACTTTTGACTTTGACTCTTTCTTCTCCAGTTCAGTGGAAATTCTAAGAATTCTCTCCACGTCAGCCTGATATGCTGCAAGTTCAATCTGTTTATCCGTTCATCTTCCACTGTAGTCGGTACTTTGATTAGTATACAACTTTGGTTCCTGTTTGAATCTTGCTTTCTCACATCATCAACAAGATGATTTCCATAGAAATAAATTATCTTTTCTGACCCGCCATGCGCGATGTTTTTAGTCGTATCAGTCTTCATTTTTAGTTGTATCAGTCGACATCATTTCTCTATCGTTAACATGTATTCTCTTTTTCTTGTTTCTCCAAATATGTACCTTGAAAATCCTAATATATCCAACATCAGGAAGTTTCAATGCTAACAAATCCATTGAATTTTGAGACGGGCTCTTTCCAGAGTTTGATCGACATCGGCAAATCTACGGTGGAACAGTGACAGTTTTTTATGCACCAAATTGTCCACATGATATTATCCTTGGTTGCGACTTTCTCAATGAACTTGGAATCATAATCGATTTTCAAAACCATCAAGTCAAATGGATTGACAAAATCATTTCCATGAAGTACAAGACCCAATTTCAAAATCACACCAACTGGACTATTGCACTGGATTGCGGCTACTTGGATATTTTGGATGACGATGACACTGCAGATGATGCTTTCATCCTCAATGCAAAGTATGAAGCAACAACTGGAGCTGAAGTTGCTTCCAAGCAAGTCCACCTGACAAAACAACAACAAGATCAATTGGCAACTGCTTTGGAAAA